TCATCAGTCATGAAAAACCGCAAAGACAAAGCGATTCTGAGCCATTGCTTAATGTATGTTTGCGTTTGTGGATGAAAACATTAGTACAATAGAGATGCAGAAGCCATACTTCTTTACTATAGGAAAGTCACTCTCTGCTGAGCCTGGGGTATAACAAAAAAAAAAATTGTCTGGTGTTTGGACAGAGTTCCTTCAGGAGCTTCTAAAGCCCTTGAAATTTCTTGAGTGACAGGAGTATCTTCGTTATGTTAATGAGGTGGCTTATGGTGGACCCTATGTAGCTTCAGGTTGGGGTCACTAGAAAGACCATGACGGGGAACTTTGGATCAGTCCAAACTCTTGGGAGAAAACCTAGAAACATTTCAATCACAGCCAATGATTTAATCTATCATCATACAAAATTAAGCCCCCCCGCCAAAACCCTGTACAGGGAGCTTCCTGATTTGTAAACACTGATAGGCTGGGAGGGTGATTCCATGAGGAAAGGACACAGAAAGTCCACTTTCACCCTCTTCCCACCTGGTTCTAATTGTCTCTTCATTTGGCTGGTTCTAATCTGAATCCAGTATAATATAACTATTTTGGTAAATACAACATTTTTCTGAGTTATAGGCAGTTGGTCAGAAGTGCAGGTGGCCTGGGAATCCCCAAAACGTGGCTAGTGTCTCTCAGTGCCCTATAACTTGTGGGGGGGGTCTGTACCAACTCCAGGTGATTAGTGCCAAATCCAACCCAGCTGGATTTGTATCAGAATAGAGTGCCTACTGTGTGCCAACTCAACTGTGTGATCATTATTAATTCCTGAGTTAATAACAGGGTAGATGTTAACATTGAGAATTCAAAATAAGTATTCCACCATTAAGTTCTGAATTTAAATACCTCTATACCATCTGGGTAGGCTAAAAATTACCTTAAGGTCAGTTTTTTTGAGTAGTGGCTTTAACTGACATTTCCTTAGAAGTGGCCAAAATGGATGCCATTTGAAAGTGATTCCCTGCTCTTAAAGCAGAGCTAAGACCTTCATGTGGGCTTTCTCACTTTTAGCCAACTGTCAGAGGCCTGAACTTTTCTAGGAATTAAAACCTGAGGCAGAGCCCTGCAGAAATGCTACAAGGTCGTGCTGGCTTGGCAGAGTGGTGTAGCCACCAATCGAAGCCAACTGCATCCTGCCACTCTGGCAGCCTCCGATGTCTTCTTTCCATCTGGTGGGCAGTACGTTCATTTGTTATAATGATTAGAAAGTTAAAAAATTTCCCCAGTAGAATATAATCTTTACTTCTGCCATTAACACTGTATACACAGGAAGTTTCAGAGCAGAGTTTCATGTTATCTGAGAACAAAACATCAGCACCAGGAAAGAGAAAAATCTAAGAACTACCTAAATGATGTGAAGCATCACAGTGAACTTCCAGGGATGGGCATGCCATGGCTTCTCAAAAACACAAACAAGTACAGCTCTGAGGACTCCTGATAAATGTGCTCAAAGCAAGACAGCTGCAAAAATGTCACATTTTGTCTCTTTAAGTTTCATGTTTCCTAATCAGCTTAGCAAATGCAAGAGAGACTCAAACTCCAATATAGTCCTCTTATTCATCTAGACCAGAGCATGGCTAAAGCAATGTTCCTCCAGCTGTCAAGGGCACAGTGGTCCTCAGCTTTCTTCTCTCGGTACAGAGATCCTGAATGTGTGTGTGTGTGTGTGTGTGTGTGTGTGTGTGTGTGTGTGTGTGTGTGTGTGTGTGTGTGTGTGTCAGAGAAAGAGAGAGACACATACACAGGGAGAGACACATGGAACTTTAAAAGGACGAGGGAGGCCCTAGACATAAGGGCCTGAAAGGTCCCTTCCCCCTTCCCACAGAGAATCACTCAAATGTGAAAGCTAAACATAGCTGTGCATTGTCAAGTTTTAGAATTCAGTCATATTTCTTCAAAAACAGAATTATCATCTTATCAACTGCATCATTCACATTTATAGGCCTCCAAAAACGTCAACAATTTACTGAAAACAAAGATGTAAAGCAAGTTCACATGCGAAGTGAAGAAAATTAGTGTGGCAAAAGTTATTTTCTGAAAACAGTATAGAAGCTCCTCAGAAAACTAAAAATAGAACTGCCATATGATCCAGCGATTCCACTCCTAGGGATATACCCAACGGAATGCGACTCAGGTTACAATAAAGGCACCTCACACCCATATTCACTGCCTCATTATTCACAATAGATAAGCTATGGAAACAGTCAAGAAGCCCCACTACTAATGAATGGATTAAGAAAATGTGATACTTATATTCAGTGGAATTTTATTCAGCCATAAAGAATGAAATTTTGTCAATTGCAGGTAAATGGATCTAAGTGGAGAACATCATCTTAAGTGAAGTTAGAGCCAGTTTGAGAAGGCCAGAAGTGGCATGCTTTCTCTCATATGTGGACTACAGACCTAATACAAATATAGCAATATTATGAAAAATGGGTCATGCTAAGGGGAGGTCACATATGATAGAGGAAGAGTAAGGAAGGAAGTTAAGAAGGTGAATATGGCTGGTGTACTCTATAAAAGAATGAATATAGAATTTTCAAACCTGTTGAAACAACCATAAGAAGGGGACTAAGACAGAAGAAAAATGGAGGAGATGAACCAATTCAGGTTGTAATACATATCTACATGGAAATGTCACAAGGAAACTCCCTGTGTAGCTATCTTAAATTTTAAAAACGGCATTTCTTTTTCTTTTACAAAATCAGAGAACAGAAGAGCAAAACAGGCCCTGTCTGGGGGGTTAGTACCAGTGGAAGGGGGGAGGAAGTGGGGAAAGGCAGGGGAGGATGAATATAGTGCTAACACGGTGTACACATGCATGTAAATGGAAAATGAGATGTGTTGAAATTGTTCCAGAAATTGGTGGAGGGGGGATAAAGGAGACAGCACAACAACAAATAATAACACATATAAAAAAAGAAGAAGAACCAAGAGAGCAAAGAAAAAAAAAGTTGTTTTCTTAAAGACAATATTTTATTCCTATTTTAAAATAAGAATGAGTAGATGGCAAACAACTCAAGTTTTATTATGATAGATATGCTTTTAATTGTGACTTGAAGATATATTGAAATGCACAGAAAAATCCAAACATTGGTCATGTCATGGAGAAAAATTTCCCATGGAGTTTAGCAATGAAAGAGAACTGACTATCTTACCATAGGCCAAGGCTAATGCACAAAACCCATGTGTCATTCTTGAATTTTAGAAATATCAACTTGTATACAAATTCAGGGGAAGCCAGTGCAAATATTCAACAAGTTTACTGGATACTTGATCTCCTTCCTAACATTCTTACATGAAAAACTGGGAAGTGTTAGCCAAGTTGCTCCCACCTTGATGTTACCCATGCCAGGTAACAGGCAGCAGGCTCGTGTGCAAGGAGACCTGCCTGGGGAGTCTGTCTTGAAACAAAGCCCTGAGAAAGATCAGGACCAAAGGTCTGCTGGCTGCTTTCACAAGGAGCCCTCACAAGTCAGTCCAGGGCCCTAAGCTTTCCTTTGCGCTTCCTATGGTGGGAAACTAGGAAAAGGAAGGATATATTAGAGGACCTTGGTGTCATCACACACAACCACCTTGTTTTACACAGGACACTAAGTCCCAGAGATGTAGAAGGACTTTCCCTAATGTTTTCTCAATTTTCTACTCAAGGGTATGCTATAATCAAGCAAGAGGTTTGATTTTCAAAATATACATTACGACTGACCTTCTATTTTCAGAGCCATGGGCTCAGACAGGACTGAAAAGGGTTTGTTTGTGACTTTCCAGTGTGGCTCACCTGCCTCTGTCTGCCTCCAGGTAAATGATTTGATTGAGATATCAGTTTAGCTCTGGGGCTTGAGTTGAGAGAGGGAAAGCAAGGTCAGGCAATGGAGAAGGGACCAGAGAGAGGGTAACTAGGGCAGGACAAAGTATCATGACACCCTAGGGTGTCAGAGACCACAGCACACAGTCCCACAGTCTTTTTTATGTCTATTCAATGTTGAAGAAAAATGGCATGTCTTCTCCCACGGGGCAGAGGATGGTCGACCCATCACAAAGCCGTCTATGCGAACTCTGCTCCCAGCTTACTCCTGGCATTCTTCACAGTCTTGCTCCCTTAAAACATATAGCACCATTGGAATAAAACTGGTGAGTCCAGGTCAGACGGCAGGCTTTGTGCCATCAGAATTCTGAGCATAGAGATTTTCACTGCGGTTGGGAACTACAAACAAAAAGACTGTCAGCAGAGGCTGACAGCCAGCCAGCGCTGGTGACTGATGCCATCAATTTTGAAGCCTTTCTGCCTTCATCTTCTAGATTATAGATGTCAGTGATTTTTTTTCTCCTGTCTAAGCCTCATGTTTCAAACTGCATTCTTCCACAGAGATCACAGGCATCATTTTATAGCACCCACAGAAAATGAGTCACTTCATGATAAAGCAGCATTTTAAAATTTGTGGTCTACTACAGGTCTAATTCAAGTCAGTTGGTTGGTCAGGGAATAAAACCTTTAAAACACAGTTATATTCAAAGTTAAAAAATGCCTAAAAAGATCCAGTAACCCAGTTTTGAATTTTAGTTATTCAATGTATCAATAAAGCACTAAATCTATTCATAAGCATTAACATGATGTCAATTTTAAATCATTAGATTTATTAATAAACATGATATATTTTAATGTATCTATCAGTTTTACAGAGAGGGGCACCAAAAAATTGCAGCTAACAGATCACTGGGAGGCAGGGCTGGCTGGGTCCAACCCAACGCCTGGCACATAAATGTTTGTTAAATGAAAGGGCCTGAGAGAGAATGAGCATTTTCTAATCAGTTCCATAATCAATTTCCACTTGAGTTAGAATCTATTTTGAATGGTCGAACATGACCTGATCTACGGTTTAATCCAGACTCTTTCACAGCCTCCTTCTTCTGGTGTGCCATTATAAATGGAAGCATCTGGCACAAGGGCCAGCAACCCCACTTCTCACCTGCCATGTCGATGGCAAAAGGCCTGTCTGCTCTCCAGCCGGTGTACCAGCCAACCACCTTGCCGTTTTCCACCAAGGGACGTTCATAGCGTCGCCCACCAACCAGGCCCACTGGCCAGACAGAAACCTTGCGTGTGGTCCGCATCTATAAGAGGGGAAAAAGATGTGATTGAAGGTTTCTTAGGGAAAAGCAGGGAGGACAGGAATGGGAACACATAGAAGGAATTGGGGGAGGGAAGCACACAGCACCACATTTTAAAGCCCGAAGGCTTCCAGGGTCCTGCTGTCACCTGGTGCCCCAGTTCACTGATGTTTGTCTGCCTCTGGCTTTGTGCTCAGAGTACATTTATCCAGTGGTGCAGGCTTAAGACAAAGAAAGTAGGTGTCAATACCTGAACATCACTTATTTGAAGCTAAGCTGTGACTATCAAATATTTCTGTTTGTCTCAAAGTTGAATCTTTTAAACAACACCTCGTATGTTCTAAAGTGAGGAATCGGATTTCCCTTCAGGAGACTTCATGACTCACTTAGAGCAAAAATGTCACTTGGGGGAGCTACAGAATGTCCTTTCTCCAATTTTTTATTGCTATGGATACTTAGAAATCTTGGCCGGCTGAGCACCTGACAAGAACTCAGACAAGACTGCTGATAGATGAACCAAGATCAATGTTAGTGTGCAAGTATGGCTCATGTTTTGTAACACAAACTTCTACGGACAGGAAAAAAACTGAAGGGACCAGATTATCAACAGATCATTTTCATTCTCCTTTTTTAATTCTGATTTTTCTGAATTTCCTATAACATATATGTCAAAATCGGAAATAAATGCCATTGTTTAGGTAAAAATGAAAAAATAAATCTCAGCTGGGACATTAGTAATGGATCTAGATACCGAACAGACAACAAGGATCTTCCAGAGCAACAAAAAGAAACACACACCCTCGTAACCTGCCTACCTTTCGACCTTTCGAGGGCAACTGAGCAAAACTAGACAGGAAAAAATCTCACGCAAGCTGTGGGAGGTGAGGTCCTCCTGCACACATGCCTGTACACACAGAGGAATGCCGACTGCACACAACCTGCCACTTGGAGTTACCTGCCCAATTTTTCTTTAAGAGCAAATGCCTTGTAAGAAAGCTAGCTGATTTCAGGCAACATTTTTAGGGAAAACTCCCACCATCATAACCTGCTTCTGGTGCAGCATGGTACCATCGTGCAAATTAGCAAAAGGGGTCCCTTTCTCAGGCAGACACCCCAGGCTGGGGCCCATGGTTGGCAATCAATGAACAACTCTTGTTGATGAGTAATTACAGTTTAAACACGCAATGCTTCAGCTGTTATTTGCTATAGAATGAACTGGGTAAATGACAGTTAACCAAGTGTTAAAATAATTATCATCTAGGAATTCTGTGTAAATGAAAAGGAAGAAAAGTGATGATGCTGGCAAAGATTTCTCAAACATAATTGGAAGGGAAAGTCATCCTATTAAAGAGTGAAAAGTCACCAAGTAGCTCCCATTAACCAAACGTCCTCTTCTTACTGTTTAGGAACAATCCCACATTGTTTTCAAAAGGAGGAACTCAGAGCTCAAAGCATTCCAGGTAATGAAGTCTCAATATTGGTCTACCTCAAATCTGAGATTACTATTTTTTTTATAATTTCTGTCACTTTGTTCAATAAGTTATTTACAAATGGTAAAATTTAAAAAAAGTTCTACTAAGCTACAGTTAAGCTCTACAAAGCTAACTCTAGTAAAGAGTACACAGTTCTCTTTTATAAGTATTATAGCTTTACATCATACATGTAGATGAGGATCCATTTGGCAGTTAAATTTTTGTATATGGAATGAGTGGCCAATTAGTTCATTTTCCCCGTTCTTCTTACTGAATGGATATGTTTGTTCCAAATGTACCTAATTGTGCCTGTAACAACTGAACTGCCTTTGCACCTTGCTGACTTTGTTTCTGTTGTTGCTCCACACTTGCAAGGCAGATACTCGACCACATGAGCCCCACCTCTCGCCTGTGGTTTTATTTCTGGATGCTCAATTCTGACCCACTGTGTATTTGGTGATCATGACAGCAATGCCACATGGGTCTTGATTAACCAATTTCATGAGTCTTTCTAAACAGGTAGTGTTCGTTAATCCCCTAACTTTTCCTTCATTTCCAAAGCTGTTTTCACTGGTTCTATATCCTTTTAATTTCCACGTGAATTTCATAGGCAGTTTTTTGTCAATTCACGCGACTTTGATTGGGATTGCATTGAATCCTATGTATCGATTTGGGAAGAATGTCACCTCAACAGTATTGACCTAACCCATGAAAATAAATCCTCTCCCTTTATTCAGGTCTTTAATGTCCCTTGCAATGGTTTGGTAACTTAACTTTCAAATCAGTATTAACATTTAATGTGTTTTTCATCCTAAGTTTCTCTCTACAGATGAGACAAAAACTGAGAAAAAATCTGAGTTTTCACAAAAAATATAAATCACTGCCTTTTCAGGCCCTCCTTTTTCCTTCATGTACTGCAGACACTGAAAATCATTTTTTTTATTTCATGCATTAAGCATGCAAACACACCAAGAAGCCAAGTTCAACATAATACATACATTTTTTTTTTTCATTAAGCAAAATGGGCTTTGTATTATAAGGCACTAAAAAGAGTATTGCGTACCTCTGGGGGTGTATTTTCCTAAAAAGCTATGATTTTTCACCTAAACTTCTTTAACCCAGAAACATTCAATTTTCAAGATCTATTACGAACTGATGAGTAGACCCATCTCAGATTTCTAGGTCCTCTTGCGAGTGCACAGCATACAGCATTTAAGCTTCACATCGTGATTTAAGTGTGGGCCTCGGGTCAGTATTGGCTGGTGCACAAGAGGCAGACTCATACTCAAAGAGAAAGATAGAACAGGCATATGACGAAAAAAATCGTTCTAGGAAGAAAAAGAAGCTGCCATTACAGAGAAGACCCACGACTCTGGGATCCTAGAAGGAACAACTAAAATTCGGCCATAGGAGTTGGGCACTAAGTAGCAGGCTCTTCATTTACACTGGGCCACCCAGAACCAGCTAGGCCTTCTAAGTAATGAGGCGACTTACAAAGCAAAAACGTCACAGCAGGTATTGCTTGCACGTTCCACATTTCTGAGAGTAGTTCCGAGGGACATTCATTCAGTCTTTACCCAGAGGGCTGCACTGGAGGTGAGGCCATACAGTATTGAATGCCTGTGACATGGTTGGATTGATTCCAGGTATGCTAAGTTTTTTAAAGTTTCTGATTTAAACAGTTAAAAATTTTTTGAAAAAGAACCCAAGAAGCCCTCACAGTTTGAGCAGTACTCCGAATTCAATGTGGAAAGTCTGTGCCCACAGATTAACACACTCAGAACCTTCCATACACGACTGCTAACTTATAACAGTGCCAGGCAATTTCAAAGGAAAATAGCAACAGCTATTTTTACAGAACCTCCTTCACTTCCCCCTTGGGATCTAATCCTTTGTGCTGTGTCCTTTTCTCCAGTAAGGGCTATAAGGGAACCAGTTTCTGGAAGAATGCTGCAGAAAACCTGACCTAATGAGGGAACTCTGAGGGGTTCCTTAAGGTCATCAGCATGAGCTAAGCCTTAAGCGTGAATAGCACCAATCACTGGTTTTGAAGGCCAAACACTTCGAAAGAATGGAACTGAAGATCCACAGGCCTTTGAGAACATTTCACTGTATTCCTTTTTTAAAAAGATGCACTTTGGATGGTGGACTTTGGAAATCTAGTTCTCACTGTAGAGAATTTATAGATTAGAAGGTGCAGGCTAGAGAATTTATAGATTAGAAGGTGCAGGCTAGAATGTTCCATGATGGACGAGAGTCGAAGACATCAACTCTATGGTAGTTTAATATTAAATAGGAATGGTCGCACATAGATACACTGATAGATTTGTAACCACGTGGGTCAGTACCCATGCAGACATTTCCTTGCTCTGTGAGCCGAGGGCCCAGAAGCAATGGTACTCTGGTAGGAATGAGCACAACTAGCATGCAGATCTTGATCTAATACCATCCTCCAGTAAAAGGAACTGGATCTACTTGGAGAGAAGTAACTGATTTTAGGACGGGGGCAGAAAATATACAAGATGATCCTGTGGTACCTGTAGAGCCAGAAAGCAAGTAAGTACTCAAAAAGAAAACAAAAGACAAAACAAAACAGCAGATCACTTATGCAGCATGTAAAAGACACACAGGAGTCAAGTCAAACAATGTGAACAGCAAAAGAGTAAGACCCAAAGGTGGCCATGAGTGGATGAATGGATAGAGAAATGGAGTTTTGCTCAGCCCTGAGGAAGGACGGGATTATGTCCTTTGCTAGAAAGTGGACAGAAGTGGAGAGCATTATGTTAAGTGAAGTGAGCCAGTCCCACAAAGACAAGTACCACATGCTTTCTCTCAAATGCGGAATGCAGGGGCACAAAAAAGGACATGAAGGTCAAAGTGAGAATAGTAAGGATAGACAAAGGGAAGGGGGCATAAGGAAGCATAAGAAGGGTGAATATTATCAACGTGCATGTACACAAATGTCATAATGAAACCTCTTACTTTGTACTGATATTCTAACAAAAACAAAGTATAAAAGAAATACCCGTGAGTCCACATTATACAAAAAATGAGTGAACAAATGGGGAATACATGCACTTCACATTTAGAAGACTCCAAATAATTTATTTGACACAACCCCAAGGAAATGGACCATAACTCCCAACCCCTTCGGTGTGGGCTGCATGCAGGCATTTCCGTCCAGAGTACAGTATGGAACACGGAAGGGGATTAGTACCTCTCAGTGAAGAAACCCACTAAGTCCTTAAGCTAGATGGTCAAGATCAACATCAAGAGTGACAAGTTGATAGTATGTATTCTTGATATTACGTGATGAGAGTAACATTTCACTAACCTCTGTGATGATTTCTAATGCTATTCTATTATGAAAGAATCAAGGATTTGTGAAGAATGGCGGATTCTAGGATTGAGATAGGAAATGTATCAGATGTGCCTGGAGCAGCTAATAATGCCAGAAAATAAGCAAGTATTCAAAAAGCAGAAACCCTACGCAAATCCTTACTAATGGCTAAAGGTGGAATTACTGACCAA